AATTTTAATAATTTGAGTGAACCGTTTCCAACACAAATATAAAATTTTTTATGTACATGTAATAAAAAATTCTGAAATAAAGATGCGAACGAAAAAGACTACTTACTTTTTTCACGATGAAAAGTTGACGCGTGATTGAGTTCAGGACGAACTGATCTTTGTACCGCGCTTTTTTATTACGTTTACAAACATAAACGCGTGAAATAAAATATAAACCTATACTTGAAACGCGAGAGCGTGATCGACAAGATAATTACGATGTCCATACTTCAATAAAAGAATTCGAGGCTCAACAAAGAAATTAAAAAAGATGCTTCTCCCATTCCTTAGAATAAAGGTCATGGCACACAAAAAACTTAAGGTAGTAAGATGTAAACAACAAGATGTAAGGAAATCAACGTGTTGAATTGGCTACTTCTTACGTTATGGTCTTATGGACTCTCGTGTTTGGTTGATTCGCTTACTGCTTACGTTTAAGTTTTTTACTGTTTAAGTTTTTTTGTGTGCCAAGGCATTAAGGCTTTTCATTTGACGCTACGACGCTCATTTTCAACTTCAAAACAGGTCACGCTTGATATTTGTCAGGTAAAACCTCAGCCTAAAGCTGCGAATACACGAACAGCGAACGCAAAACTTTGTTGTGTTATTATTTGTTAAATAAAAGTTGCACAAGTTTAATTGCTATGTGCAACGAACATCGAATCTGATCGAATGCTAGAATTCAATCAAGAAAAAGAAGAAACTGCTCACAAATACAAACACGAATATCCAAACATTCGCATTCGGTGCATTTGTTCGCTAGGTTTAATATGTATCCTCATCCTATTTGCCTATTTTTGCTGAACGAATTTTTCAAGTCTGCTTTTTCAAACCTATTGATAAAAAGACCTTGCCAACACGTGGCACGCATGTATATTTGAACGCTCATTTAAAGAAATTCAAAATGAAATTCAAAAGAAGTTAAGAAATGGAAATGTATATGTCAGAAATGTCAAGCAATTGGAAATCACCTCAACAGTAGTTACACCGTCTTATTCTCGAAAAATCTTATATATATAATTATTAGGAAAATTTATGATATACATGACGTGTACTGGAGTATTTTTGTGCATTTTCGCATGCGATATTTTTCGAGAATACATCAGCTTATATAAGTATTGCACAAAGAAAACAGTAATAAAGAAACTTTCTTCTATAATAGAAGGAGAAAAAGACTTTCTTTGTTGTAAATGCGAAAGGAGGAAATATGCGGACATTTTTCTTTGTTCCAAAAGTCATCCTACAAGGACATTTTCTTTGTTACAAAACAACAGAAGAGGGAATTATTATTTTTTATATATTCGTGTACAGTAATTAATTAAGGAGAAATCTTTTAAAGTCCGATCTACGTAAGGCGCAGAATGTGGATAAAATTAACATTTATGATATGTTAAATTAACACAAATTTTATTCATTTATTTAAAACATATATTTTAAAACACATTATTTTTATTATTAATCCACTTACTCATAAATTGTTACTTTGACACTAAGAAATGTTAAATATCAATTACCACAAAAGATCGCAGATTGTAAAACTAACCTAACGTATTTTAATTAATATGATTGTGGGACTTGTGGCACGCAGGACGCAGAAAGTTGGATGAACTTCAACTTTTGCGTCCTGCGTATCGAGATCTACAACCTATTATAATTTAAAATACATTTCCCTTGCGATCTGCGTCTTATAAATTGAGCTTAATGCTTCCAGCATAAAAGCAGGACTGCGCGAATCCTGAGGACACAAATTTTCTGTATCGCCACGTCTCATTACGTGCGTTTTAGCATTCTATAATACGGAAAAATTTGCATAATGGATAACTACCGTTAAAGAACATATAAAAAATGTTTCAAAAGTTAAAAGTATGTTAATATTTACTTTAAAAAAAGTATGACTATATATACATAAAACAGTTGTGCAACATGATATTTTTATTCAACAATACTTTTTGTGGTTTATTCATTGTATTTATTATTCCTATAACACTTCAACTCAAAAAAAGGATAACAAAAATCTCAATTTTTTGGAGTAATTCTTCAAGTGTTCAAGATGATTTATGCAAAATTTTATTGCAATCCACTTATTTATTCTTTACGTAATTACGATTATTTATTCTGTAAATAAACAAATAAATAAATTTTGTTCATATTTGTTTATTTATAGACTAATCAGTGAATTGCAATAAAACTTTGCATAAATCATCTTGAATACTTGAAGAATTACTCCAAAAAATTGAGATTTTTGTTATCATTTTTTAAGTTGAAATGTTACACAACAATAAAATGATGGCACAATGACAAATATATAATAAATAAACTACAAAACGAATAAAAAGATGTTACACAACTATTTCATATCAACTGTTATGCATATAGTTTTCACATTAATTTTGTCTAGAAAATATAAATACCAACACATTTTCAAATCTTCACAGAGATTGTTCATGCGATATATTCAGAAAAATCTCGCATCGCCCGCACATTGAGCAAGCACGCGCGCGCGCACAGCATGTTACATTAATGAAGCGCGTTATAAAACAGCCGCTCCGCCGAGCGAGGGAAAAATCGTTCACTCACCGGCACGGTGACGATGCATCTCGCGGCTGCGAATTGGAGTGAAGTCGTACGGTTGGTCGATGTTTACAGCCGTATTACATATATACCACAACTGTCAGATACCGGTGGTCAAAGTCAAAATACACAGAATGTCGAAAAACGTGGCTGCTGCATCATCGTTATCAATCGTTTCGATTCAAAACGAACGGAGGGAGGGGGGAAGCGTTTCTATTTTCTAGGATTCGGGATATGCGTTAAACGCGAAAATACTCCAATGCACGTGTGTCGTGAGAGGACGAAAGGCCTTGTCAATCCCGCGTGTGACAGCGCGTGGCGCCAAGGCGCGCGAGTTTTCGCAAAGCGACGCGGCAGCGTGGACCTCGTGGCGTACAACTAAAGAAATACAAGACAACACTTACTGGTGCGTGAGATATTCGTTCAGTCTTCTTCTCTTGTTATTCCGTCCCGATGCTGCCGTCTCAGTGGCTATATCTTGTCTCTTGTCAGCACGTTATTCTCTTTGCCGCTATGACAGCTAGAACGGCGCAAGCGTTTAGCTCCGCTGTCAGGTCACGAAAGGCGTACCAAAACGCATCGAATAGTGACTATAAAAAAAAACTCTATAGTGTATGTAACATAAACTATACTGTAGAAGACATATGCCTGCGTTCAGCAGACACAAGTTGAGCGCTCGCTGCTATTGATGTATTTTTCCAAATCTGAAATGCTGATTGGATAATCTAAAAGAATACACCAATAAATAACAAGCGATCATTCAACTGTTGAATCCGTTGAACACAGCCACTGTGCACATTTAAAGCAAATAAAAATAAAGGAAATACAATGAAAAACACAGGCAATAGGAACAGGAAGTAACAAATTTCAACTTATCAGAAATCATAAGTCTGTTCGTCTTATGTAAACCTGCGATGCTTGTTTTCTTGCTTGCCTTAGGCCGGTATTCATAGTCGAATCTTGGGGTTAATTGTGTATTTTCAAATAAGGTGAAAATGATTAAAGTGAGCAAATTCACTAAAGTATTCATAATTTAATTGGTAATACCTAATCATTTTTGCTTACTTTTGTAATTTTCACCTTCTTTTAAAATCCACAATCGACCCCCTTATATTCAAGACTGTCTCAAGAAGTCACGAACCAATCAGAGGGCTGCATTAGCATCAGACATTACTTAAGATGATCTTGAAATAAGAATCGATTATAAATACCGGCCACTGATTGGCTTAAGGGTATATCCATACAAACTTGCCACATAATGCATCGTTTACAATACACAGAATAAAGAAGTAAGAGTAAGAAATTGACCAATCACAGTCGAATGTGAGAAGAATAATCGATTCTTATTCCGTGTTTTGTAGATGACGCATAAGCGTATGCATACAGAAAATTATTCAATTACATGTCTCCTATAAAGACGCACATAAAATGTTGGATAATTTTCTTTATGCATATGTTTATGCTGTTATGCAAGTTATGTGGATATACCCTAAGACATCTTAAGACTGAACTTAAGACCTCAAACATAAGATTTAGAACGGATTAAACTCATTCTACAATTGCATAAGCGTAGTTGTAAGAATTGACCAATTACTATCGAATACAAGAAGAATATTCGACTGTGATTGGTTAATTCTTACAATTACAACTTACAACTACGCTTACGCAATTGTAGAATAGGCTTTAGAGCTGCCGCATACAAAATTCCGTAACAGTATGCGTAAGATGTAAACTTAAGCCAATGAGCTAATCAGGATACTGCTTTAGATTACGTAATCTAACAAAAATGGAAATAACAGTAAACTTATCCATAACCTCGCAATAATATGAATTTTAACCGGTTGAAACTCGCCTTATGGATAAGTTTACTGCTATTTTTATTTCCGTTAAAGTACATAGATCTAAAGTAGTATCCTGATTGGCTCATCAACTTATAGTTCACGCCTTACTGCTACAGAAATTTTATATGCGGCAGCCCTTATTCCGACCTTAGTTACGAGCACCATAGTTGCTTTCCATACACTTAACGTGGATTTTCAACCAATCGCGTTGCTTGATTCGGTTGTCCGTAACCATAACCGTAACAATCGAGCAACCTGATTGGTCGAAAACCTTACTGTTAAGGCCATTCCACATAACTTGCATAACTGCATATGCATAAAGAAAATTATCACATTTCTGTCATAAAGGCAAACGTAAAATATGATTAGATGATTTTCTTTATGCATTATATTTATGCGACTATACAAGTTGTGTGGAATGGTCTTTAAGCCGGTTTTACATTAGTTGCAAGCCGATCGCAAGTTTATTGCGACAGCCAATATGAAGTATTGATTTCAAAATGCAAGCTTCAGATTGGCTGTCAAACTTGTGACCGGCTTGCAACTAATGTATTGTAGAACCGGAAAGTGTGTGTAATTAACTTTAATGCTCGGTTTTTTCTGCCAGATTCTTTCGTTTTATGCAAAAACGCATCGAATAAGCCTTTATTGATTTTTGAAATGCGGAGAGTAGTCTGAATAATTACCAAATTTTGATTAAATTATTTAATTGTTGCTAATAATTATGAGAAAAAATATGAATACTCGTATCACTGGAACAAATATCATTTTAGTACCGTATCAAGAAAAGCATGTTATAAAGTTTGTATATAAACTACTCTCTTATATTTAATGTTTTATTAACTGGATGATCAAAATACAACTAATATGTTATCTTGAAAATTATGTTCAGATATCATGAATGGATGAAAAATCCTATTCTGCAATATCTGACAAGTTCCGAGCCGTTGACGCTGGAGGAGGAATTCAAGATGCAGAAACGTTGGTTGGAGGACGAGGATAGTAATTATCTAGGCTAACAAAACCCTTTAGACGTAAATGCTTTATCAGTTTTTATCGTAATTCTTCATATAAATGGGTGAATCAATTATTAGCTTTAACATAATTTATTTACTATTCTGATTTTTCAGGATAAAATGAGATTACTTATTGATTTATCTATCACAATAATCACTTGTGTTGAAATGTTGCATTAAATGATTTCTACGTATCTTCTTTCTCTCTTTTTGTATTGCTTTATTTTTTGTACTCGATACTAGCCAGTAATGAAATATTTGCTTCTACTTTCACAAAATATAATTTCTATACAAAATATGATTTTGATTGTGGTTTTATGTTACAGAATGCACTTTTATCATATTGGACAAACATGTCTACCTGACAACCAAAAATGAAATAAGTATGTACATAAATTATAGTTGTATATCAAATTTTTTCAGTATTGAAAGTTATAGTTTATAACATATGCACTACTCTTAACAGTATATTTTGGAGCACAGTCTATTTTATACAATCTATTGTAGTTTGTATTTCGAATATTCCAGATATCATTTTATCTATTGCTTAATATTTGGTGAACAAAGATAAAATGAACGAGCATTTATATGGGAATTATATGAATGCATCCTTAGAATTTCTATAATAATATATTTCTATAATAATATTATTGATTGCTTTGCATTTAGTGACATAAGTCAAGACAAGAATGTCATTCTATCTTTATTATTCTCTGAATATCAAGAAAGATGGAATGATGTTTGTATCAACTTGTGTTACCAAATGGAAAGTGCCTATTGTCACTGTTGTAGGAACCCTATATATACCCACACCCTATATATACCTAATATCTAACTTCTTCTTTCGACTAATTCATTTCAGATGCCATGGTGGGAGATACAAATTTATTTTTGCACGACTCACAGGGACTGTGCGTCGCTGAAATAGAAATTATGATAGCTGAGGAAGTTAATCGAGGCAAAAGAAGAGGCTGGGAATCTATTATATTAATGTTACTCTATGGTAATTCGGCTGTTATAACAATTATTCGATTTAACATTCTTATAATTTATATCTACTTTTGTAACAGGTACTGAGACGCTAAACATTAACAAATTCTGCGCCAAAATTAAATTAGACAATGCAGTGAGCATAAGAATGTTTGAGAAACTTGGTTTCCGAGAGGTGGGTTAGTCTATTAAGAGATATAATTTTTTTTATCACACGTTTAGCATTAAACCATTACGTCTAAAATTTCTTCGAAAAATTTAATGATTCAATGTAGTTATCTATTTGTTTAAATTTAAAATTAGATTAAATCGTTTTATAGGCATGTATAGAATATTAGCCATTTTTAACAGAAACTGTAAAAAAAAATTAAATACCTAATGATAAAATTATAATTTAGGAGGAAAGAAGTGAAGTTTTTCGAGAAGTTACCCTAGAGAAGGAAACATCTTCTGATTGGACGAGTTGGTTGCATTCTGAATTACAATCTGTTATACCTAATTAACTATTGTTGTTATTAAAGCAAATTTAATATAATTTATATATTTGTAATTGTACGATTTTATACTATATAAAAAAATGTATAGAATTTCTTTAAATACAAGATACTTTTTAAATATAAGAATTCAATGCATATGTTCACTTACAACAAGAATTTGAGAGATAAGCGAGAAAGAGAGCACATGTTGATGCGATACAATTGATATAGTTGAGTCATGATTGAACGTAATTGAGTCTAAATGGATAGTACGGCTTTTGCACTCAATCAGTATCAGCGTCAGTATCCATTTAATTCCTTATTCAGCGCTAGTAAAACTGTAACAGTAATATCTTGCTTATTTGATAACGCATCTTGAAACGTGAATATCTTGAATCAAGTAATAAGACATAAGAGTCGTGACTGTAACAGGAGTAAGACAAAATATGTCATTGACGAAGGCTCTTCGAGTTGTAAGCAGTATTATGCAGAAAAGACCCTTATTGTTTAATTCAATGGTATATGGTTTCTTCTATACGAGCGCCGAGTTCATCCAACAGAGTTTCACTAAGATGTCAAAGGTGCAATTTCCGATTCGGATTCTTTTGTATAGAATATAAATTCTTCTATATCATGCTAACGAATGGATTGTGCTCTTGTAGCCGATACAGCCTATTACCATAGACCGTGAAATTTCTTCCAACATAAAAGGATCAATATTAATCCAAATACAAAAATTTTGTGAAGTGTTAGATCTCGTAGATAAAAATTCTAATTCTGCAACTTATAATTGGCCGCAATTGAAAAGATATGCGATCTTTGGTTGCCTCTTAGCTGGACCAATGCTACACGGATGGTATTTCGACAATATTCATCAAATGGTGTAAAGTGCTTATTTTCGTAATGAATTTATAAATTAATTCTTAAATTATATTAACGACAGGTACAAATGGCTGGATACGTTTTATAGTGGAAAATCCACCAAGATTGTATTAAAAAAACTGTTTGCAGACCAATTTATCTTAACACCACCGTTAATTATCTTGTTCTTTATCAGTTCGTATCTTTGAGCGCTTTATGTGAAGATTGTTTAATTTATTCATGATAGAATAATAAGTCTGATTCATAAATCTTACAGGTATGAGTTTAATGGAAGCTAAGTCAGATCTCCTTCAAGAATGCAAAATTAAATTCGTGCACACTTTTCAGGTTTGTTTTCCAATTCGCGCGAAAATTTTACATTACGGGGATTACATATATTTTTGTTTTCCAGACTTCATGCGGATATTGGTTGCCAGTGCAATTTGTGAACTTTCTATTAATTCCGCCATCTTTTCGAGTGACATATGTTAGTATTGCTGCTTTCTGTTGGGTCAATATTCTATGTTATTTGAAAAATTTACCTGTTTCTGAACACGAGCAGAAAATAAAATACTGAAATCTTTCACATAAATACATATCACAAATAATACTTTTTTACTCTATAATCTATATCAATCATTGTTTTTACTGTCAATGAAACAATCAAAGAAATGTCACAATATTTAATGCATAATCAGCACATATATAGACAATTCATTATTTATTCATTTCCGAATATAGTTTTATTTATAGGAATAGCATAGGACAGAGTTATTCTTTATATTTTTGAAGAATGAAAATGAAAAATGATAGGCCCTCATAATTTATTTTTTATGTACAGATTGTGTATCATTATCACTTGTGGCCTAAATTATAATGATAATCTAAATAAACCAGCTGGTACTAACTTAATAAAAAAAAGGAGGAAAGAAAATACTGCGAATCAATGATTTTTAAAATAATGTCTATCCTAAGCTAGATTTGCTGTTCAGTAGATTGTTCTGTAATAGATTAGATCAAACTTCTGGAAGAGAATTTTTTTCAGTGCTCCGAACATTACACTGTCAGAGACAAGTATCACACACAATATTATTGCTAAGTAAAAATTTCTTGTAATATTGTTACGATACTGCCTGCCTACGCGTTTCGATGGTAAGCGACACAAGCTTTATTTTCAAGAATGTTATCGAGAAGTGGTTGGTGCTTGTAGTTTATCCACATTGATCAACATCTTCGAGCAGTCTTATGCGTATGTCTCTATGCAACCGTGCGCAAGATAAATACATGACTCAACAGTAAGATGAGTAAATAATTCGAAGCTATACGTGCCATTTCGCATGTGTGCTGAGTCATATATTTATTTATTTCGATACGATTCGATTACCGGCATATAATTAAGAAAGACGTCTAAGAGGAATCCAGCCCTATCTCGTGGACGAAAATATATTCATTGTTCCGCTTGTTGTGCGCTTTCTTACGAGTCTCGCCGCTACTGTAAATGAAAACCAACGTATACACACATATTTTCTCGAAAAATCTGACGTTTCGGTTACCGGCTTACCGGTCGCGTCCTGTGGCGTTAGTGGTTTATCTATTACTTTTTGTATCACACTAATCCATTGCGATCTGTCGTCATCACTTTGTGCAGAGAGCAAGTAAGTTCTATCAGGTGTTTCAAGAGTAAACGAAAACCCTTGATCTCTAGCACCCTGTGGTACGCCCGTTTTTACCGCAAAGCTTTCGGAACTATGACCCAGAAAGATTTCACCTTTCGGATGTGCATCCTTAAAAGATAGAAAAAGAGAAAAAGACTAACAATATAGACTGTTAAATAACACAAGCGTTAAGTAAAAGTTAGTATGTACCATAGGATCGTCATGATACATGAGTTTTCTACCGTCTAAGGTAAACCATCTTTTTTTATAAGCGTCTGTATGTCTTGGACCAGTTTTCCATAGAAAGCCTTCGCGCGGGAAATCCCTTGTAAGTTGCGACAGTAACTCATTCTCATTTGCACCTGGATACGCTACTTGTAAGCGGTGTAGTTTCGCACACCTGATGGCAAGGTACCAATTCGTGATTACTTCTGGATCTTCGTGATACACATAGATATGTCTCGTCGTGCCATCTTTCATAAAGGACAGTTGAAGACTATTCTGATTGCCAATTTTAGGTGGTGCAAATGCAACATTTAATTCTGATATCCTTAAAACTGCTTTGGGTTCCTTAAAGTAAGTGCGATATTAAATATTGCATTCCTAGACTTGCATTGCATCTTATTTAAATTACCTTATTTTCTTTAACATGATACTTGAGTGTATCCTCTGCTTCGCGAAGTACAAATTTACGAGGATGATAACGTGAATCTTCCTTTCCACGTTTCATTAAAAACCCTTCCATAAATCCTGATACATAATGATTTTGTCTTTCAGGATGACAAAATTCCTCTCTCTCGTATTTTGCTCTTATCCACTGTTCAACTAAAACTCTAATAAATTTTGTAAATCAGTTTCTGATATTTCAAATACTTTATATACATATAATATCTAATAAAAATACTATTCAAAATATAATCTATATAACTGCTAGTTGATAACTGTATTATGAATAAATGTGTCATAAAATGATAATGAAAACAGGAAAACCACACAAATGCTTGATAACTCATTGTAGGGTATTTGGATTTGTAAATTAGTTTCTGATAATTCAAGCACTTTGTACAATATCCAATAAAAATACTGTTTAAAATATAATCTATATAACTGCTAACTGCTAACTGATAATTGTGTCATAAATAAATGTGTTATAAAGTGATAACTATGACAGGAAAGCCACACAAATGCTTGATAACTCATTGTGAGATATCTAGATTTGTAAATTAATTTCTGATAATTCAAATGCTTTGCATAACATCCAATAAAAATACTATTTAAAAGATAATCTGTATAAAAGCTAGAGCTGATAACTGTGCCATGAATAATGTGTCATAAAGTGATGACTAAAACAGGAAAACCACACAAATGTTCAATAACTCACTGTGGAGTATCTGGATTTGGTCTGCGGTAGCACGAGGGCACACGTTCTTCGTAGCGCATTCTTGCTTTATTATTACCTACTTCGCGTATCCTACTCACTTGAGAATCTTCCCATCTATCTAATTTTAAGTGCTTCACTTTTGAAATATGTGCTCCCATAGATCTGTGTACACCAGCACACCTTGTGCAAACGAATATACCTATATTGTAAGATGCCCATTCTGGATCTAAAATATAAAATAACACTAACAATAACATGCAGCAAAATGAATGAAAGATATCGTATCCCTAGTAAAAGAAACTTCAATGAGTTTGGGAGAAGTGGGAGGGGGATTTTACACTACTACTGTTTAACGATATTATCGATACTATCAAATCCGATGGTCATTAGAGTCCGTGACACCGCACAATGTTAAATATCAGGTATCACGAGTAATCTCGAGTAACTTTACGATATATTATCGTAAAATTTAATGTCGTAAAAACAAATGTCTAAACATCGAACATCAAGAGGTTAAGTCGCGGTCGAACGAGTCTCATTCGCTAGTGACGATTTAAGGTAAACGAGATCTTTGAAGAAACACACTTACTTTTGGCCCCGCAATCCGCGCATACGTTGTTCCCAGACTTTTTCAGAAGTTCCGCTAGCAACTTCTCGTTCGCGTCCGCCATTTTAAAACATTGGCAAACGGGATGAATGGGAACGGCGAGATTCACAATTCATATGCGATGACAGGATTCGTGTTTACATACGTCATACGAGCGTACATAAGACAGGAGTAAAGACCCTCTAATCAGAGTATTCAAAGTCAAGACACGAAACAGCCACTTTTAATTGGTCCGTCATTTACAACACAGCCTTGGAGGTCAATCGTGTATTTTGAAATGAGGTGAAAATTGTGAACGAATTTACTGAAATATTTATAATTTCATTGGTCATTAACATCTGGTGGATCTGCTGAAATGGCCAGTTTGAGCAGCTCATGAAAATGTACCTTAAGGAATAACGTGTGAACCAATCATTCTTTAGCATTGAAGCCGTTAAAGCCGTTAGCCACTGACAAAATGCTATTTAAGATGGTCGACATTTATGAAAGTCGCGTGTCTGTTAAAATTTAAGTGATTAATACTCATTTCCACCAACATAGATTAACTTTAATCTCGGTTCAACTTACTCTTCGTCTTTTTCTAATTTTTAGAACTAAAAAAAGACAAAGAACAAGGCCGGAATCAGACTATGCATTGAAGAATGAGATTGAGGATTGAAAGATTGAAATTTGACCAATCAGAACAAAAGGAAACCGAAACTTCTTTGTCCTCATTAGTGAAATTTCAATCTTTAATCTTTAATCTCAATCTTCAATGCATAATCTGATTCCGTCCCAAATTAAACCGTGATTAAAGTTAATCTAATTGGTGGAAACAGGCATAAGAAACTAATAATACGGTATTAATTTCATGATTAATTATTAGTAGACATGTAGGCCCATTCTTTTTGGCTGAACTTTTGCACCAGTTCATCTTTCTTCCTTTTCTCTCTAGGAGAATAGAAGAGAAAGAAAGATGAAGTGATGCAAAAGTTCAGTCAAAAAGAACAGGCTTTATGTTTAAAACTTAATTAATAATACTCGATTTTTATTTAAAACTGTGATTTTAATATTATCATCTGAGTTTGATTATCAATAGAAATGATAACTACAGAGAAAAAAAATGTAATTTTTCTGTAATATATAGGATATTATAGCTTTACAAGTATGCATATTTATTTATGGAACATTTATGACATTTATTTATTTTATAATAAAGAATCATGAATTTAATAATATATGAGCCAAATATTTATGTTAATAATAGCAAATTTATATCAATTGTCGATAATGTCAGCGTTGTCCAATTATTTCCGAACTCTTTTTATCTGAAAATTTACCCAGGATTGGTGGTCTTTAATAGTGTCTCGTCGGTGGTTAAATAAATGTAGAAATCTAGCATTGACGCGTTCTGTTTGAACTGTGTAAAAATCACTGACAGGAATCAGTATTGTTGTAATGCACGAAATCTGTTTTGATTTGTTTAGATTTAGAGTACTTATTCAGCTTGGACCTACTTGAAGTATATACTTGGGCCTGTTCAGATTTTGAACTGTTTGGAGTTAATCTGTCATTTCACTAATTTATAAACAGAAGCAACCGATATAAACTTTAACTTTTATGCATGTAAGTCGATAATTTCAATGATCTGAATAAGAGATTTTATTAGAAGACATATATAAAAAATATCTTTGTATTGTTCAACGAATAATATGATGCTTTATTTATATTTTTTACATTTAGAGTTTATTAATTCATTTCGAATTGAATGCTATAAAATTTGGCGTGATGGAAATATTTGCAATCTTTTTTCTTCGTAATTTTATCGCCAGGTAATATTTTTTATAATAACATATATATATATACATCTGGCATATATGGCATATAATGACACATATATGCATCTGCTGTAAGTACCATACAAGCAAAGTGTCACTGCCAGACTAGTTGTTTAATAGATATAGTCGTTTATAAGATATATCATTTTTCAAGTGAGTTGTTTACTGTGTATGTCTATAATGAATATCATATTGATACATTATTTGACTCAAAAGGATTTAATTTATTTAAGGTTTCCAAAATCTGATCAATTATTGAAGAGATGGTTGCTCATACTTGGTACAGAGGAGAAAATTACCAAAGTGTGGCAAATATATTCAAGTTACTTCAAGGAAACTTATTTTATAATACTATATAGTTACTATATAGTATAGTCAACAAATGTTATTTAAAGCCAGATACAATATCCCTTTGTTTAAAGGAGACAAGCAGGGATGACACAGTTTCAGATAATAAAAACAAATAACAAGGACAACCAGCTAACGAACACTATGATTGAATGCAATGTCCCTGAGAAAAGCTTTAGATACTGAAATCGTGTACTGATACTAGAATCGTGTATAGGAGTTAAAAGAGATGACAAACTATTTGAAAGATAAGAAATACTAGACTCTTATTTCTGACAGAAGAGTTAAAATGAATATTACTAGAGAGTTAATATTATGTTTAAAAACAATGAAAAATATTAAATATAAAATAATTAATTTTTGTATATAATATTGTTCACTCCAGCAGACTTGAATGAGCCAGAGAAAAACAAGAAGTATCTATATGATGTCCGATGGGAAGAGATATCTATATCATCAATGCAAATTAAAATTTACTGAAAAATAGTAATCAAGAACATCAAGCAACAAAAGGTAATTCTGAAAACTTTGCGACAAAAAGTCAGAAGACTAGTAAAGCGAATGCAGGATTGTCACAGAGAAATGAATTTTACAATTCTCTGACTTTTCCAAATTTTCCATGAGTAATATAAAATATATAAATTTTGACATTTAGATTCAAGGATTGTAGGAAAGCTAATCTATATTATTAAAAACAACGGAAAAAAGCTTAGTAGCATAGTACAATTTTGGGTGCAAATTCAAGTCAGTAAAAAATTAATTAATTTTGAAAAAAAGAATGCAATTATAATGAAAAAGAAGGATTAAATAATACTGAATAGAATATAAATTTTAATTATTTTATTAAAATCATTTAAAGTGCATAAGTTTTAAACATATTTGACTATAAACATTAGATACAATATTTAAAAAATTATAACAATTATTTGGAAAATAGAAGCAGTTTCAGAGAATTGTGAGCAAATTTTGAAATTCCAGATTTTTACATTTTCCCCTGACTTTTCCTGATTTCCACGACCAATTTCAATTTTCCTGATTTTTCTGATTTTCCAGATTTGTGGCACCCTAAAATATTACACTTGCAAACTTTGGTAAGAAATAAATGATTACAGATATCGCTACGGATCAATAAGTTACATATAGCATTTTCGACCATAACAGATTTAAACGAATCTGAGTTGAATTAATGGTGTTGCATGCTGTGCTATTGTTAGAATATGTAACATTAATCAATAGTAGAACCAGAAAGAAATCTAAGAGAGGACATGACGGCCTAAAATCTGTAACTGCAAAATGCTACCGTCCTCTGAAGAAGTGGATGTTAACTATGCAACAATATTCACCTTTTTGCTCCTGATGCAAATAGATAATTGAAATCGCTAAAATAACTAAAATCTATTAAATTAATAAAGATTTCAACGATTTCAGCGATTTATTCTCTCTGGTACAACATGACATATTATTAATCCAATTCAGCTTGGTTCAAATTTGCTATGATCGAAAACGCTAAAAATTTTGTAAATAATTGTATGTGATAAAGTTTTTAATGTATGGATATGTGATTATATTTTATGTAATTAAACTTTAATTATGATGTTACATATTTATGTAATTACTATATTTATATAAAAAATTAAACTTTAGTTGTGATGTTACATATGCTGTGATTGAATAAATTATTAATATATTTCAAATTTTATCAAAAAAAATATCTATTTTTCACCAAACGTTAAATTATAAAATCACTAAATTCTTTACAGAGACATTTTATATATGTTCATTAAAATGTATAATTGCTTAATTATATTTATTTATGATAATAAAAATAGGATCAGAATTACGTCCCCATGATAAACATGGTAACAATCATTATGAATCTTGCTATTCGGTTATCGTCATTTCCTACTAAACCGACTGAACACCTATTGTCGTTTCTTTATATATAGACATACGAATCAAGAAGCACTTTCGAGAAAAGCATTTATTATTTCATAAACATACAATAATGCTGAATAAATGTATAAAAATACACCTATTTCGAAAATAAAAAAAGAAAATGTGTATATTATTTTACTTGAAATTAAAAATTACATTTTTGTTATATTTATAATAATTATAAATCATGTCATGATATATAATGTTATATATGTATAACATACTTTATATATAAATTTATTATACAATACTTATATATTATATATAATATAATATAAAATCATTATATAAAATATATATTTGAGTTATTCGGGTTTATTATAAGACATTCGGGTTTGTTATCACTTTTTACGTGCCTTCCTTTTCTCATTTACTAAGTTGCGTATTTCTATCTGAGTAAGTAATAGTGTTTTTATTATATGTTTTTTCTCTAATTGATGGCGTATTGTTCCATGCAGCTTGTTGTATATTTTCAATAAATATATCGACTTCCTCTTCTAATTGATTTGGGAGTTCGAATCGAAACATTCAAGTTGATGCAATTATCCAGATCTCTCATAAATTCTTCCCAATTAGTCTTTTTATTCATTAATTTAGATCTCTTCCTTCAGGATTAGATTCTCACTTATTGTTAGGATTAGGATCAGATCTCCAAATTTCAATTCCAGTTTTCGAGACTAATTTCCAGTTCTCCAGCAGATGGGAAAAATTTCCAGTTTTTCGCTTACGTATAGTATTTATTAATTGCACTATCCAATGATATCCACGATGTTAAACACAATATTTTACCTTTTTATCTCTTAGAAACAGTTCGAGTATATAATATATATTTATAAATATATCTTTATATATATATAAATGTTTATAATGTTATAATTTAGAATAATGTAATTAACTATAAATGAATACGTAATTTAATATTATAGATAGATAAAAAAAATATTATAATTATCGTATTTAATATTTTAATATTTATTAGCTTCTTTTTACTTTTGGAATTAAATAGTTTATTTTATTTCAAATGTTTAAAAAGAAAGTTCCATATTTTGTTGTTACTACATTCTGCCTCTATCTAGCTTCGATTAAAAACTGTACCGCTATAAGCTCGAAAATGTTTGTTGACGATCTATCGATGACAAAGTGCGTAGGACATGCTTTGAAATAGACAGCGCAAACACCGACCGACTTGTGATTAATGTTTTTGCAGACGGCCGTTGTCGAGAACGAGCCCATAGGGAGCTCTCACTGTTTTGTAGCCAACCATTTGCCATTCATCCCTCTGGACATTACGGATTGTTGGACGCGATCGCTAGCATCTTCAAACGATTTGAAGAGGTAGTGTTTCTCTGATTCAATGAGAAATTTATTGAAGACCAAAAAAATTTTATTTTTACTGTGTTCGATTTAATTTAAATGATTAAAATATAAATAATCATGCTATAAAACTTCCAAAATTAAAAATCTTTCCTTGCGATTTATATTTAGATAATACAATAATCGTGAGGTGCTCAATATCGAAGATTTGACGAGGAAGAGAGAGAGAAAGAGAATTATTTATTTATTAAATAAATAAATAAATAATTCTAAAGTAAATAAATAAATAATAAAATAAAAATAACAAGTCTTTAAAATAATTTTCTTTAAAGAAATTTGACTTCAACCTTATTGAAGAATCTGTTATTAAGATTAGGGTCTGAGAGACATTCTGGTATCGCGCTGTTGCGACAATAGGGAAATCGGAAACTTTCGCTCGCACCCTCGAATTCAGGATGCTAATTGGTGGGTGGTTAACCCGTAGCCACCGGCAAGTTTTCCGAGATTTATGAGCAACGCGGGCGTTGCGACTAAAGGCGTGAATAAGCTCGAGTCATGGCCAGGGAAGGGCAACACAAGATTTTGAATTAAACGTCAACCGCACGATGAGACACGAAACTAACGTCTCGCTACGATGTCTGGCAATAACGATGCTTCCACAACTTCGTGCATTATTTCCATCTGGTAATAAGTTAACAATGGATGTTTCACGACCTTGAACGGACAAGTAAGTCGGCTATAGACGAGATCCATATATCCGGTAACTCCAGGTCCATAAATCCGTCACAAATAATGATTGATGGGTCAGTAGATTCGAAAATGTAGAAATTTGGAAACTACGAGAGAATGTAAAAATACGAGAATATAAAAATATCGCTAAAAAAATATAGAGGGAAATTTGACAGTCGCAAATTTGAGAAATTTCAAGAGAAGTTCGCGAATATAAATATTCAAAAATCTAAAGTTACAGTTATACAGAAAAATAAAAAAAAGCAACAATTTCATTTAAACAATAATAAATGATTTATTAAGACCATATACGTGACATCGTATACACAACAAGAGTTTAATGCCTATAACGAAGCTGAATCTTAGACGCTTTAAATAAATTCTATGTAAATTTATATACTAAAGAGGGAAACTCAAGTAAATAGCTAAAAATTCATCAATTTTCAAAGAATTTATTGAAAGAATGTATTGAAATGCCGTTTGAAAATAGTCGTTTCGAGAAAAACGCATAATTTATCGATAGAGAAAAATAACATTTTTTGGACTTAAACTTACAGCTGTTTTATGCTAATCTGCAATGCTATACATCTCAATCTCTTGCTTTTTCCTCAAAATATAATAATAAACCCGCCTGTTGCTCTTTTCGAGCAACTACAAAAGAATTGATCGGAAGGACGACGCGTTTATATCTGCGGGCTCGACACTGCCACTAATAGCTGTCTGTATAGCTGCCTTAAATTTGCGAATTCAATTCTACGGCTTTGACATTTTGTTTTATATGTTGCATACTATTGATTTATAAAAAAAATTTCGATATTTTTCAATCTTCCACATGAGTTTCCCCCCTAAATATGTAGTTATTCAGCGCGCAATTCAAATAACTATATATTTAGTTCAAATTCACATAGAAATTATTCGAAGTATCTAAAATCCATTCGACCGTTGTGCATTAAACTTTTGCTGTACAAAATTAAATAAGAAAAGGACATCTAGGAATCGAGCGTGGAAATTGATGCATAAAGTGAAAAAATATAGTATTTAAAAGCTAAATTGTCTATAATCTATTTCGAGCTCATGTTTCGATTCAATTTTGATTGAATACTTCTTCGGAGTATACGTAAAAAAAAAAAAGAAAAATCCTTAAAGATATATAAAAATTCGATAATCCAATTGTCATTAAATTCTTACTTTATTATTGTGAATTCCATCTAAATTTTGCGTAACAAAATCTATGTTTTAAGTTAAAATTATCTGCAGTAATGCGTTGGATAAAATTTAGAGAATTATTAAATACATTTCTTTAATAAAGATAAAAATAGTTATGTTATACGGCTTGTTTTTCATTTCTGTATGCTAGGCGCGCGAAAATTACAAAATTTCAAAACACGGTTTCGTCGTAATTATCATTTGTTCACCAGCGTGCCATTTATCGCTGTACGTTCGCGCTCGAGCGAGAATCTCACGTTGGTTTATTCACGCACCCGTATACGCTACGTTAAAGTATGAAAAATGATAGATCTTGCGTGGCTTAATGGTTCCATCCCCTTTTTTTCCCACGCTCGTTGTTCGCATGCACTGTACGGCGAATCATTTTCGAAAATAATGATGTTATCAGTAGATATAGTACGAAGATAAAATATATCTTCCTGACAACTCATCGAGGGAAGTTAACATGAAAAGAACTAAATCCCGAAAATAAAACAAAAGCCTCGAATTCCCTTTCTTATACAATACCTCTCGAATTGTCCACAATCTTTAATCTTCGTGTTGAAAAAAATTCTATAAATAAACGTAACGCGTAATAAATGTATGATACGTGTCTCCATTCAAGTGGGATCTGTCCTCCCCCCAAAAAAGAAATGAGGAAGACGAAGAGGAGCTATAAATTGGGGGTGACGAAACTCGGCAAGATGCAAAGACCGCGGGGCAAGTGCAATGAAAGTGCCATTTGGTACAGCACATACGACACTCACCCCTACGACTGGCACGTGCCTCGAATATAATTTATTGCAGTTGGAATTTTGTGGGGTGCCTCGTGGATCCCCCGCGTGCTCTTTGTACCTCTTGTAGCGACGGGTACAAGCCACTTCTGTTGTCCGCTCGATACACTGGATCCCGCCAATATAATGACGATCACTTGACCGCCAAGTGTTCGGAAAAACCTTTTTCTGCGGGGCAGAAAAGGAAAACGGAATCGTATAGAATTATTTTAGACAGAAAGAAAAATAAATCAAAAGCGTCTATTTAAACAGAAAAAAATTTAATAAATTTTAACACATATTTCTGAATGGTACTAATTATAAGTAAGTGTTTATTTAGAGTAAATAAATATTTACTTAATAAAAATGATTAAATCAAATTAATGGTTTTGTATTAAATAACTATATGTTTATTATTTATATTTAGTAAATATTTACTTAGAACCATTCAAACAAATATTTATTAAAATTTTATTTTTTTTCAGTAAGGAAATCGTAAATATTTTCTTAAAAATTTTAAATAGCGTTTAAATATGTTCTTTTCTTCAAAATGCAATCGAAACAAGAGAAAATGGAATATAAATTCCCCGATGTATTTAGATTAAATTAAAAACAATCGATAAGTTTTGAGAAAAATACCACTTCCTATAATAATTCTCAATAATAATTAATCAATAATTCCTAATATATCGCATAAAAGACATCATTACAAAATAAAATTGGTTTTATTTATCCATTCAATACCACACTTTCTCGCGTCTTCCTAACGAACCTGTTTTTTTTTATCTCCTCGTGACAACTCGTGTTTGAAAGGAAGAACGCTCGTGGCATATATCGTTTGCGACGATATATCGACTTCATACGTGTCGCACTTGGAAATCGCGATGGTTTCGGTGGATCGTCCCAATAATTCGGATCTCGTATTTTGCCGAGAGCACCGCCCGAGCGAATCCCGACTACCCTCATCGCCAAAACAACCACCCTCACGTACGTGAGCGGGATGAGCAAGCGAGATCAGGCGGGAAAGAGGGCTCAGCGGGAGAAAAGATCCAAAGTTTTCGAGTTTGTGAAAAGTTCGACGATCCCTTCACACGTCTTAAGTTCTTTTTCCAGTAGAATGCCTCCTCTCGAAGTCGCGATGGAATCGCCGCCGTCGACTTCGTTTGATTCGAGTTTATTTTGAGCCATTCATTATCCGACTAGATTGGTACTGATCGAACTAGAACGAACCCTGATAGGAATCTTAGATATCCGAAATAACGAAAACCGAATTAAAATAATCAATTTAAATGTAATCAATATTAAGCGTAAATAAAACGAGAAAAGTTTAAAGCATGAATGAACAACACTATATTCGGTTAAGAGTCTTGATAATATTTAAATATTTTTTATAACAAAAACCGAATTAAAATAATCGATTTAAATGTAGTCAGTATTAAGCGCAAATAAAACGAGAAAAGTTTAAAAATAAATAAACAAGGCTATATTCGATTAAGAGTCTTGATAATATTTAAATATTTTTTATAATAAAAACCGAATTAAAATAATCAATTTAAATGTACTCAGTATTAAGCGCAAATAAAACGAGAAAGGTTTAAAATATGAGTGAAGGCTATATTCGATTAAGAGTCTTGATAATATTTAAATATTTTTTAAGTGAACTTGTATAATTTTAGTGCAAGCAATTATTTGTTGTCTTCAAGCTATGTAATATCTTAAATTAATAATAATTTTTAACAACACGCGTTTCAAGAAATTATGGCAAATTTGAATGAAATTTTCTAATTTTTCCAATCTTTTTTTCATCTTTTCTGATCTTTTCAATCTTCAAAATTAATCCTCGAATTTTTTTTTTATTAACTTCTATATATTTATTTACATTTTTGAAAAAGGAAATAAAAAAATGGATCGCAAATATGAGGTCGAATTAAAGCGAACTTTTACAAATTGCAGACATGAATTTTTTTCTACATTCCTTGGCGAAAGTGCAGAGATTTTCCTCGAATTAAATGGCACCTTTTGAGATTGCCCCTTTCACGATTTCCGTTTGTGATATTCTTAAAGCGTATTAGACTCCGTCACGAGTCCCGCGGGAGCAATCTTCTAGAAAGTTTCATTCAAGTTTGGTTGCCAGTTATATTCGTATATCCTTCCTGTCGTCTGTCCGTTAGGAAAATCCGGGATGAGATCAGGTGTAAGATTTGCCAAATTATATCTCATTTAATTTACGGATCACATTACGCAAAAGCTAATTTCATATCCTAAAATTTAAAAAAATTGAATCAATCATATGTCACAAATATAATATTGTAATTATTATATGTCACAAATGTAATATTGTAATAATAACAATCACGTTGTTATTATAAAAGAATTTTTAGGCATTTCTTAAAATGTTGTCTCTCAGCCGTACAAGATTTGTATAAAATCTAAACTGTGTGTGACAAATGTTCTACAGGAGATAAAAGACATTATTGCGAGAGGGTCTCTCAACAATATCCGAGGGATGCGTGGATTCTGCGTAATGCATCAGGAGCACGGCATGACGGGGGTGGTCGGGGGGAGAAGCGCGGATCAGAGGGAGATTCTAGTGATTCTACTGGACCGAAATCTGGCCTCAGTCGTGCGCGACGCGCCATATGCGGTGGACCATTCGTCAGCCTCCTCACAAAGGCCAATAATCTCGCATGACACGTGTGCCTACCCCGATAAAAAGCGTTACGTGTCGCGCTGGAAGCGTTCGTGGAAAAAGCTTTTCCACCGCGACAGAGAGAATTCGGGTGTCGCGCGATACGGTACGGGACACGTGACACCAGCAATAACGACAACCGACTTATTTTCCTACGTCTCAAGTATCGAATATCGATTAAATCTAGTCATCGAACTAAATCATTTATTAATTATTATTTTATTTGTAAGATCTGTGAAGTAACCGATCGAGATTTCATTTCGATCGATTCGTAAGATGCTCTTGTTCTGTACTCCAATCTGGGGCACGTGGCACTCGCCGACGAGGAAAGCACAAAGAATATCGTAAGAGACTTCATGATTAAAATTAGGTACGTAATCGTTTGTATATGCACTTGCAAATGTATGTAAATTTAACGCTTAGTTAGTAAACATAATTGAGTCATTTATAGTTTTGTGCACATTTCTTTTCTTTGAAATACCAGGAACACTTAGCATGTAGTCCTTATCTTTTCCTTTTTTTTAAATACCCAACTTTATAAATACTTTCTAAAGTGAAGTATATATAAGAGTCACACAATATAAATGTATGTTTGTAAAAATGACAAAAATTAACACAGAGCAATCCTGATGGATTGTTCTGCGTTAATTTTTGTCACTTTTACAAACATACATTTACATTGTGTGACTCATATATAAAAGACCGTGAAAAAACGTTGTGTGTCACGAGCTTTTTACAATAAATTATTACCTATAAACTTTAAGGCTCAGTTTCATAACTCACAATGCTTAATCGAGGTTCAATTTATTTCTCATCTCTTTCCAATTCTAGCATTAGAAAAAGATGAAGAATAAGTCAAACGTCGGTTGAAGCAGCGTCTATAATGAGATTTTAAAGCGTAAAACTTAAGTTTTTTTAAGTTTTACACCATAAGAAATTGACCAATCATTGTTCTTCTTACATTCGACTGTGATCAATTCTTTTTACAACTTAAAGTTAAATTTACTTTAAAATCTCATCGTAGACGCCATTTTAGAGCTTTTTACTACACATGATGGGTCATCGCGTATTAATTTTCGTCATTTTTACAAACATACTGAGTCTAAGTCTTAAATTGTAAAAAATTAACCGATAGTCGATTATTCTTCTTACATTCGGCTGTGAGTGATCAATTTCTCACGGCTTCAGACTTAAAGCTTAAATAATGACTTATTGTAAAATGTGCGAGAGTTAAAAATGCACATATTATATAATAATTCAATTATGTATGATTGTCATGATTATAAATTACATTTGTACTTCTCTCTCTCTCTCTCTCTCTCTCTTTCTGCTCTCATAAATACGCTTTTATTATATCTATTATTTCTGATATTTTTATGATAATACATGCTTAAAATCTCATTCAACGTATCACGACCATAATTTCAACGTCAAATAAAGTTTAATCCTTTTAATGTAGAATTAAATTGCTTAATGGGTTCCTCTGAGTATCTGCAATTAAAACTTGATGCAATTGCGACGCCGCACCCTCAAATAATGCTAACTTTTAGAAAAATTGATCCGCTTAGCGAAAGCTTACTTATTTAATTATCGAAAACATAGGAAATTAAAGAGTCACGTTGCAAAGCGTACAAAAAAGAAAGAGAGATGTAGCGACGATACACGAGATACTAAATTAACGGTGTCTCGGGTAACACCGTTATAAATATACCGAGATTTAGGTAATTACGGGGATAAGACTGATTATGCCTAGCTCGCGCGGCCTTACATTTATTAGGGCAGGACAAAGCAGCGAGATAAGAGCCTGCTGAATCATGGCTTGATGAGACACGAGCGTGTAAATGTGTTTTCGGTGTAGCTGCGACAGCACTTAACAATTGCCCAAAATAACCAGATCCGTGTGTGTCATTCCGGTGGAAAATGGCTTTTGCGCGTGTGCCGCTAAATTCGGACCAAATCGAGAATCAGAAATATGTGCATCATGCAACGCGATGTAACGTTCGGCCGACTCGCGCGACAGCGTGCATTTATTTGTCTAATGCTCTCTATGGACCAAAATATATATTAGGTGTTGGAATTAATTCGTAGCGTTTTTTAATGAAAGAATGTTATTTATTTCACATGAGCATTAAAAAATACATTAATGAAAGTACTTCCCATCACTTGTAAAACGCTACGAATTAATTCCAACACCTAATATATATGTATGTTTGCAAAGCATTTCAGGAAACATAGTATGTATTATGTTTCCTGTAAGCGAGGAAAAAAATAAAAATTGATAATTAAAATTAATTAATTAATTGAAGACACGATACTCCATAGTTGCGATATTTTAGCGACATCAGAGAAAAATATAATAGTGACGGCAACTATAAAATTTACAATTGCACAAGTTTAATAAGTAGAAGCATCGTATATATTGAATAAATTAATGTGCATAGTTAAATAGACTATTCAATAGTAACAACAATTATGAAATAGTTTATTCAACTATGTACATTAATTCTACATATAAAACTTGTATAGCTATCACCTTTATAATTTTATCTACTACCAATTATTACATCTTTTTCTTTAAGTGTAGCAAATTCTAATTTCAATTTGTTGAACTAACCTATTTACAAAGAATTATTCATATCGCGATAAAATGTTTATTAAATGTCATTACTTTATTACCTTCAATAATAATTTTACTGTTTATGGGAGGAGGGGGAGGAGAGATAATTATAAATAATTGTAATAAAATATAAAGCAAGAAATTACTTATTCCATGGTTGTTTCGCCACCATCCGATGGCTCCTCATCCAGTCTTTTCCTCTCATTTCTGTTTTCTCTTATTATATCCTCATGTCACAACACTCATTTATGAAAATACGGCTAATTACGTGCATAATACATCTCGCAAATCTCGCAAAATGTCCGTATTAATAAATAGTTGACGTATTATGACTTGATGTTACTTGATCCGCGGATTCGTGTATTATTTTGCGAATCCAGAATGACGGTCGAGTTACATTGAGATGCGGAATATTCAAAGCGCGACGGAAAATCTATTCGATGTCAAGCATCTTTAAAAGGATCGCTCGTAAATATCATAATGAGATGATAACTTATAAATATCCTATATAGCTTCGATTATTATTATTATTCCGAATATATACGGAAAGAACGATTTACTTAAGAATACAAAAATTTAACTAAATAACAAATCTGAAAATAATTTTGTTAAATCATAAAAATAATTATGTATAGAAAATTCAAACGTGATAAGCAATGTTATAAAGAATTTTGACAATTTAGCAACTAGCTTGAGTGTCCTTCCTATTTTAACAATCTAATAAAATTATTTTCAAAGATTTATATTTAGCTAAATATTTAAATATTAGTAGTTCAGGAAAATTCTTTCATGTACGAATTGGATATAATATTTGTTTCCTCGATAAGATTACGAATCATTGGCTGCGTTCAGCAGAAAAAGCAGCTTTGCAACTGTTGTAAAATTCTCTAATATGGTCTTGTTCTTAGTTCTTCTAAATGTATAAACCAATCAATTGATTCGTAATCTTATCGAGGAAACAGATATTATACCCGATTCGTACGCGATAGTCAATTAGTAATTGCTAAATGTTCATGAAAGAAATAATCACGAAACAATAAATTAGTATAAAGGCTATGTGAGTCAGCGCGCAAATTAAATTAAAATTTATTTTATTTTATTACAAAAAACTTTGATCACACATAAATAAATTTTTAAACATACGTTTCGGTTCAATTTTGAATCATCATTAGTGTGAATCTCTTATGACAATATTAAGAAACTAAATTATTATAATTTTATGTATCGAATCAAACCGCATTGTTACATCCAATGTTTCTTTTTTTTATACAATATAATAAATATAATAATAGGACTCACATAATTTTATATAATAAATATAATATAAGACTCACAGAAAGCGTTTCTTTTCACATCCAGAGTTTCATCAAGAAAATCTTGCATTAATAGTGCTTTTGAATAATGACTATCCTATACAGTTCATCTTTGAGATGGTAGAGAGAATTAAATGTTTAACCAATAAGAAAACTTTAAAACAAAAAACACAGAAAACATCTGATATCATAAATCAGACAAAAATCAAACACAAATTATCTTTCTTTATGTTAAAGGTATTTCTGAACAATTTAAAAACGCATTTAACAATATATAACAAAAAGTAACTATTTATAGTATGAATAAATTAAACCAGTTTATTAAGTACATAAAGACTCTCTGCCGGACTCCAATAAAATGAATACAGTATAAAATTGATTGTAAGGATTGTGATGTATTCTTGGACAAACTAGCAGGAAATTAAAAACAAGAATATCAGAACATTTTAACCATATACGTAGAAGAACAACAACATATTTTGTCATTGTAGAATCACAATCATGATTTTAATTGGAATGAAGTCAAGATTCTGGAGAATGCAGAAAGAATGTACAATAAAACTCATTTTAGAAATGATATAATACATATAAAAAGTAAAAAAAAATGGATTAAATTTGAAAACGGATACAGAGGGTTTACATCAAATTTATAACGATTTGGTCAATTATTTATGATACTTTATGTACAATGATTTGATTAATTATTTCTGATTTTATGTAAGTGCTGTTTAAATGTTTATCTATATGACCTGTATGACCTTTTAACATAATATATATCATTTTCGTCATCTAGTCAATGTTTGACGATAATTCTAATTTTAATTCTATTTGTGACAATTTTATATATTTTTTTTAATGATTGACTTGTAGGAAAATAATGCATAATTTTAATTATTTGCTTTTCATTTGATTACATTAATTGGAGATGAATAATAGGTACACTAATAGCAAAACTACGCTTAACTACGCTTATTACTTCAATAATTTTTATAATAATTATAGTTAAGATACATGCAATCCTTTCCATCGAGCTTAGGAGCTGGTTGAGTGTACTAAGGATGAATCTTGTTTCTCTCACGATTGTGACCAGAAAAGAAACATTGGATGTAACAATGCGGTTTGATTCAATACACAAAATTATAATAATTTAGTTTCTTAATATTGTCATGAGAAGTTCACGCTGATGATGGTTCAAAATTGAACCAAAACGTACATTTTGAAATTTATTTATGTATAATCAAGGTTTTTTGTAACAAAATTTTAATTTAGTTTGCGCACTGTTTACCGCGCTGACTCACATAATCTTCATACTAATTTATTGTTTTGAATTTGAGGAGTCCAAATATTAATATTTTAATAATCACGTTTCTTTATATTGCGTGCACCTAGAAGGATAATTGAATGGATAATTGTAATGCACGGAACGATTGCTGTTTTCCCGTTCGAGCATTAATAGATGCACGAATGGCAACGACACTGTATAATATATAATATGCTGTTCATCATAAATAATCATTGAAGCGCTAACCGTTGTCACGAAGCGCTTTGAATGCGTCTGATAAAATGTAATATTCTCTGTTTGTTTCATTTCAAAATTATTTTCCACGAATGAATTACTATTGCGCGTTTCGCTCCATTTCGCGAAATCGTTGTACAAGATAATATTAATAGCGCTCAATCAAAAATTTTTTATTAAAGAAAACGTGTTAAATAATTTGCACGTACACTGAGAAAAAAAATTTGTTCGACTAATTTAGTTAAACACATTTAGTTGTTTGCAGATTTGATTAATTCAACAAATTTTATTTAATTAAATTTAACCGTAGTCTGCTTAACAAACTGTTTAATGTTAAGCAGACTACGGTTGAATTCGATTAAATAAAATTTGTTGAGTTAGCCAAATCTGCAAACAACTAAATTTAGTTCGTTGAACAAATTTTTTTTCTCAGTGTAGCTGTTACAGTTTGCTATTTGTAATTAGCGTTCTCAATGTTTGCTTAGTATCACGAAATATTTCAACATATTATCAGATTTTGTCGTAAATGATTACAATGTTAAACGCGAATACCTATATCTTACTAATTTAAAAAAAATTCAAATCAAAATTATTGCAGAAGATTATTTAATCGCGAGGGGAAGTATAATCTTCAAAAAACAATCGTATTTTATTTTTCTTATTATCGTAAAGAAGTTAAAGTCAGCAACTTGTTGCGTCTCATTTATCGTGCAATCCTTTCTTGTCCTTCGACATTCGTGCATTCCGACTTATATATTTCAACGAGAATCGATTACTTCCGCTTGAAGAAGAAGATATATATATAGTCGGTGGATTCCGAACTTCTCGGTGTTCCGGGTCTCCAGGATAAAAAGACCTGATTATCCTTTGCTTTTTTTCCACGGACAGTTTGGTCGCTGCTGCTCACCGAGGAGAAAAAGAGAGAAGAATCTTGAAAAGTTCTTAAAGACCGATGCTATTTCTTCGAGAGGGATCACTGGCCGTGGTTTGTCTCTCTTTCTCTCTCTCTCTTTCTCCCCAAGCTGGCTCAAACAACTTTGAAATTTTTCGTCGCGTCTTCTAAAGTTACAAGGCTTACATGTATATCCCTCGTTCCTACTTTCCGCTTATCCACCATCCTTCAACTTTATCCCGTCTTTTATTTTTACGCCATTCGTCTCCTCCCATACGCCAAGAGAATCTTGAATGAGCAGGCGAATTAAAAAAGGGGAAAGATCAAATCAATTTTTCGCGAAACTGCAAACTCTCAAGTCTCTTTGGTGTCAGCCAATGTCTTTAGTGTCAACGCGAGTGTTAAATTTAGATCCATTTTGTTACTAAACTAATGAAGTTTAATCTAATATTTAGAGATAACTTAACGAGTTAATGACCGTGGAGATGGTCGTGAAATAAGTCTGCGACTTTTTCGCAGATAATCCTATCTCTTGGACTTCTACGAGTTGGTTGCCTTGGTGAGAGTCTGCGATGAGAAGAGATGCGAATGTTTGAAAACGCAGACACGCAAAGTGGCCTCATAATACACAGCGGCGAAGATGAGATCGGAAACTGCTTTGTATCTGCTTTCACTACTGATCCTGTCGCTCAATGATCCTTTATGGGCTTCCGTGGAGATCAGAGGTTCGTTGATAACGCAATTGAGTATGTTAGCTAATTAGTGCCGCAAACAAGATATTATTAATGGTTACTATCGAGTTATTTCAAGGTAATTTTAATTTTCTTAATTTTTCGTCTACAATCTGGGTCTTTTCTTGCCACAAAATATTCTCAAATTTCTCCGAAATAAAGGACGAAGTCAGGTTCCCTTATTATTATTTTAAAATAAATTTTCATTTTTTTCTCATTTTTGCTCTTTCAATTTTTATCAAACATAAAGGTTTTATCATTTATGTTAAAGGATCCAATTATAGACGGAGAATTAAATATGTAAATATGGTTTTTTTAATAATATTATATTTATAGATATTATATATTATATTTAGAGATATTATATTTTTCTCTTTTTGAATAATTTATATACTATATTGTTTGTATCGGGATAAATCTGTTCGAGCAATTCGCAAATAATTCGATTGAAGAGAAACTGCAATTTCGATAGAAGCCTCCACGAGAATGAAATTGCGTAGCTTAATGAAGTGCGAAGGGTGAAACTCTATCGAGAAAGAACGTTGATCACCTTTGTAATGGAATAACATTCGCCTAGATCGAGGGACAACGTATTTAATGCTACCGTTAAAATTGCTGATGAGTGCAAGTAAGAGATTAAACGTGTTTCGTCCTTAGGTCAAATGAAACAAATACTTATATAAAAATCACGATTACATGGAAATTTTTCGGGAAATATTTCGGGGAAGTAAATACCATATATCTATGACATTTAATTTCCCGAAATATATCTATAAAATATATAAATATATAAATGAAAAAACGAAATATATAAATGAAAAAATACACATTAAAAATTTTTTGTCGAATTTTTAACTGCACTTTCGAATATCAATTTATTATAATATTACTGTATATTATTTAAATATTATTTAAATATTTTAATTGATATTTAACATTTTTTAGTATTAAAATAACATAATTTATGAATAATTGAACAAATAATATAAAAATAATGTAATTTTAAAATATAAATCCTAAGATAAATAAATAAAACATGAATGTACGTATTAATTATAAATGTTAAAAGTTTCACCGAAGAAATATGTTTCCACAATTTTTAAATATTTTTTGTGTGAATTTTTATCTAATGTTTGCATTACTGTCTAATATATTTATCTTGTGTTAAATTAACACGAAAATTTAAATGGACCGTTTAGGACACGCAAAACGCGTTAAAATTAAAACAAATTTTCCAATTTTGTAAAAATACAAAATATCTGACATGTTTTTCCTGTATTTGATATCAAAAGAGTCGTTAGTCGATGACTATTCATATCCCTTGTAACGAGAAAATTATTACGCAGAAAAGCATACCGCCCGAGGATACTTACTGTAATTAATCCTATGCATTGTCACGCGTCTGTGATACGGACGGCCTGTGGCGGTTCTATACCATGCACTAGCTGCTAACATCGATGAAAGGTACTAAATATATACTTCTTAAGAAGCAAAAGAGTGCAGTACATTTTTCAAGTTACATAAAGAACAAGGGTATAGAAGGATATATAAAAATACATGAAAAAAATTTATTACATTTATATAAACGAAATGTAATATATACTACTATTTTATTTTATTTATTAAAGTTCGTTTACCGTAAAATAATTAAATTTTTGCTCTATTTAAAATTAATTTCTAATAACGTAACTAAAATTTAATCAAATATTTGGCATAATTTAAAGATAAAAGATGTTCACGGGAATATTATTAAGCAGTATCAATTAATCGGTTGAACAGTGGCATTGCACGAACATAGACACGTTCCACGCGTGTACACGCACGCGTGCATGCATGATATAATTAAGGTGACAAATATAGCCGAGTCGGGAAGCACGGGACGAAACACGATATTGGCAAACGACGCCTCAGTTCAGCGAGATTGCTTACATCTATGGTAATTAATTAGTCAGTAAACTCTGAGTAATTTCATTAGTCCGTTGAAGGGTGAGGGTCGTTAAATAAATAAGGTCGTGTTTTCATCGGCGAATACCGGCGGTATTTCGATAACCGTTTCTCGTCCTTTCCTGTGAAATAATTTGCCTAGCGAAATCAATTTCGTAAAATCTCCAGGGAATCTTGGCGGAAGGGCCAAAGAAATAGGAAGTAATATTATTTGGACGAAATATTATTTGGGGTAGCCGAACGTAATATCCGAATTTTATTTTGTTCGAAATATATATTATTTGCAGATATTTATTCTATATTATTGCATACAGTTTACACGAACGCGTTTTTAAATGCTGTGGTAAAATAAAAGAAAGTGAGAAATATATAACTATTTAATCGGTGCATTCTGCATTTTGGAATGTGCATGTTTTTTCAGATGAGATTTTCACAATTTTTTTTTCATTACGCACTTGCGCTTGTTTTGTTGTAAATACAAGGTATCTGCGCGCGTTATTTTTTTTCGTTGGGACGATACATTTTTTACATTACAATAGGATGCAACCGTACCATCAGAAATTCAGTCGGCTGGATTCGCTGGACAGGAAGAATGGGTCGTTGCATCGTGCGAATCAGAGCGCCACTCAAGGATCCGCAGGTTAACACAATTATTTGCATTTGATTATATTTAACGAATTACTTGGTAATAAAAGATAAATGCAACAAATAAGCAAATAAAGGTTAAAGAGAAACAGACAATTAGAGCACTTTAACTCTTAAACGCTGCATTACGACAATACTAGACATCTAATTCATTGTTTATAATTTTCATAATGAATATATTGTAATTTTTTTTTTAATCAAAACGAAAAACATTAATCTTTACAGAACGGGAAAGCCACTATAGTGATGCTGAAACAATGACGTATTTTTAGACAAAGTACACAATAAAATAATGAATTATATAACAAATCATATTCAAAGAAAAAATTGTAAAATTTTTGAAAATAGACTCTCTTCTCTAAAGATTAAAGAGCATAATGACCAAGCAAATATATGTATCTTTATTGATAAAAAAGTAATGAGTAGTGGAAAAAACATTGCATAAAAGCATTGGAAAAAGAATGCCGGATTTGTTATAAGAAAAAGGCGTTTAAATAATAATTAATAAAAAATAGACAGACGTTCAATTAATAATATCAAAATATAATCAAATAAAATGTGGATTTATTGTAGGTGATCGAAGTGAAAGTCAGGAGGTTGCAGGTAGGCTTTTTGAAAGAGGCCCGTTGCGAAGGAGCATATTTTCAATTCTCAGACAATGCTGACGATTCTGACGACGAAATAACAGGTCGATATTGCGGCCGTGTGAGCGGAAATGCTACGAGGTATGTATCTATTCCTTTTTCGTAAATCGTATGAATCCTATCGACTCTCAGGATTTGAGATAAATGGTGCTTTCCAACAAGAGCTAAAGTGTAACACAGTATTGACCATTTAATATCTTTGTTTAACCTTGGCAAACAACAAGAATTTACTGTGTTACACTGTGTTGTATGTATTTTGCTGGAAAGCACCTAAAATCTCGTTTGCGATTCCACAGGCTATTTCTACGTCGCGGTCCCGATCTAACGATCACCCTGATGTCGGACAAGCAATTCGCCTCGGCGAATCCGGTCATTTTTTCCGCCCAATTCTCCGTCCTGCCAATGCGCCTGGCGATCGAGCGTCATCGTGGCTATTCCACGTCCACGTCGTCAACGTGTCCTGTGGAGTGCACCGTTCACAACAAGCACAGGTCCTGCAGACTGACCTCGCCGGGTTATCCCAGCGTTTATCCACGTGGGATTAGGTGCGCACAATAGACTTTGAGACCATTAAGCTCAAACTCGCCGAAGTTTCGAACGAACAGTTCACCAAGATAACACAAACCTTCTCTTCGAACTAGCAAACTCTGCTTGCTGCAAATTTTGCTTCCTTACGCTTCATCACTAATTATACGTTAAATATCGAACGGGTAGAGTCGTTCAAACTCGATTTTCTGGCGAAACTTATCGAGCTAATTTGGTTTGAAACATGTTTCCGAGAATAAAACGCCGAGAGAGATAAAATTATCTCAATTTCAAAGTTCTAAATTACTAACTGTTGCGTCGCATGGATCGCGCTGCATGGAAAGAATGACTTTACTAAAGTATCTAAAAATTTATATAGATCTAAAAATAATTTTGTTGAGCCATCAAAGCAGTTATGTAAAAAACTTAAGCATGATGAATGATGTTGCAAAAAGTTTTGACATTCTAGCAACCAGCTTGAACTATATAATTATTTTGATAGATTAGCAAAATTATTTTCAAACTTATATCTAGCTACTTTTTAGATACTTCAGCAGAACCATTCTTTCCATGTGATTGCCGAATTCGATCGATTCTCAGATGTAGGATAGCCTTGGAGTCGAACGCTGGTCGCTTCAGGATAGGTGGTCAGCCCGAGGACCTTTTCGATTTGATGAACTACACCGATCAGGAGAGCTGCCAGATGGAGAATTGCGAGGACTCCTTCGACTCCAGGGAAAAGGAATTGTTGGTCACGAAGGGTCAGAGTTTCATCGAAGCGGATGAATCTATTATCAGGGACGATTGGTCGAGGAACGAGTACAGTAGTCGGATTCCTGCGATGAAATACACCACGGAAACGAATGGACAATTAGCGAGGCTCAGGCATTACAAGAAAAAGGCGATACAGCAGTACAGGGGAGAGCAATATCGTTACAAAGAACTGCCGCTTAAGTCTGACACAAACGAGCCGAAGTTTCGCATAAAATCAATGCGTTCGAAGATAACGAGAAAGAACCATCGAGGGGTCGTTCCGAATCATTATTTCAATAGCGATTCTAAAAGACCGAACGAAACGATCAATAGAGCGATGGTATGTAGTTCGTTTAAGCTTAAAGAAAAACGCATTAGTGGAAGATCAATGAATTCTTTTTGCTAATTTGCTAATATAATTGCTCTGCTTAAAAGAACACATATGCATTTTTTTCAGTTGAAATGCTTTACTTACTTTAAGTGTTTTATTAGCATTTTAAAGAGTGATTTCAATTACTATTTTAAAATATTATTTTGATTATTAAGTATACATATATAATCATGGAATGCTCTTATTGCTATTTAAGGTTCCTGTTCATTCACCATTACTATCTCAGATTGTGACGTCAGAAATGAGAAAATATATATAATATAAAATCTTGCAAGATATTTTAATATGGAAATGTTTTAATAAAACAATTTATAAAATAAAATCGACTTGTAAAATACACCGTAAACTCTCTTTTTGTTTTGTTAATTAATCAATAAACATACATATGGAAATGAATTATGCATAACCGAAAACAAAATAAATATGATTTAATTTCTTCCTAATTATACAAACAAAAAGATAATTTTCATATATTTTACAATCTATCAGTTGCAAATGTTGTTTTATTGAAAAATATTTCTATTCAAATATAATTTGCAAAATTTTTATTTTCTCGCTTCTGACGTCATAATTTGAGACGGCAGTGAGTGAATAGGAACCTTAAGATAATCTATATACAGCAAAATCCTATTATTTTATTAATATTTTCAAATACCAGACTTCTGACATAAAACTGACACTATTTTGTCCATTAAAATATGAAGATTTAAATAATTACACATGACGAGATCCACGTTTTCGTTTAACAAAACTTAATTATATCAAAGTATTTCTGAACAAGTACATTTGTTCACCTAAATCAATAATATCCCGTATAATTTATTAAGGCACTGGAACCCAAATATCTCAGGGAAAATCGATCGTTGGCAAATACATGCGGCAGCGGCGACTATCTTGCACTTCTGGAAAATGTGAACGGGAGGATCTTGGAGATCTCGAGGTTCTGCGGTAGCGGCCGAGTCCCGCGCATTTACTCGAGCGGGAAAAACGTGATCCTGGAGTTCGTCGCTCGCGAGGACGGCACCGTGACCCACGATGGCTTCCAGGTGACCCTTCAAGAGGAACGCGTTTCACGAGAGGTGAGACGTACGAGATGCGAATTCGCATACAGGAGCACCGGGCGGCCACGGAACAGCAGGGAGAACATTAGATCCCCGCAGAGCTGGTATCCCCCAGATACTTTGTGCACTTACAAGTTCCTCGGTAGAACCACTGAGAAGGTTTCGATCTATATAAAGATTCTCAGAAATGAGCCCGAACACGAGAAACCGGAGACGGGGAGGCGAAACTTCACTTTAAACTCTTGTCCGAGCAACGAAATCACTGTCTATAACGGAGCGCAAGTAAGCTCTCATATTTTTTAATTGATTTCTATAATGGCTTCTCGGAATTCGCTCTCTTAGAAAGGATTTCTGATAACGAGACAAAAAATATTCTCTTGACGTATAAAAAAATATTCAAACAATATTCTTTTATCGCAACCTTATATGTAATAAAAAAAAAACAATATTAAGATTGGATCAATAATTCGTATTTTCCTCTCTTAAATTAAATAAAATTACCTTATTATTTTGAGACAACAGTAACACACATAATTTAAATTATACAATTTTAGGTTTAAAATAAACGAATAATAATTTAAATATAATAATAATATGAAAATATAATAATAATTTCCTGATATAAAAAATATAATTAACAAGTTAAAAAATATATTATTATAATAAATTTGGCTAAATAGGGAATTAGCGCTGTAATACGTGCGCGATAAATTTCAATATTATTAAATTGTATTTATCATATTTAACTGGTAATTTGTATACATGTTTCGGCTAACTTTTTAGTTATCCTCAGTACGTACAGATGAATCCATATGATAAAATAAACGATGAGACGTATAAGATTAGGCTATGGTACTCACATGTTTTTAAAATAATGAAAAACATGCGAATACCGTAGCCTAATCTTTTTCTGAAAAAAAATAAAATTTCCTCTAATAACAAGAAATATGATTGTCCTTGTATTGATTCTATTTTATGATAGATCAAAGAGTAGTTACTTTAGATACGGAAATCTTTTCTATGGGTGCACGAATCGATAAGGATTCATTCCGCGAGGTTTTATCTTCGTCGAATTTTTTAATCTTCGTTTACAGGGAGTACATAAATTTTAATTATTAATTTTAAATAAATTTTAATAACTGAAGATATGAAAATTGATGAAGGAAAAATGACAAAGAGGAATTCGAAAATTTTGCATACTCGATTCAAACATTAAAATTCTATTCTTTCTCTATCTATTTTTTCCTTTTTTTTCTACGAAACAGTTACATTTTATGAATTTTGCAGGTAAACAACAGCTTCTTAATATGGTCGTATTGTGATGCGTCTCATTGGGACATCAACAATATCCAAATACCTTTGATGTCTACCGGAAACGAACTATTGATCCAGTACTACAGCGCCAAAGGGTCCCACAATGGGCAGGAATTCACTTATGCTATATCCTATCGATTCATCAGGAAAGAGCGGAATTCTATCGTTGCGAAGCACAAATACAAATCGATCTCCCTCAGACCAGTCAATCTGTCGGCTCTCAATCTTAATGACACCGATAGTTACGATTGCGACAGCAGAATCAGCACATTCAAGAATTGGTTCGCGGTGCTGGCGGTCTTCGGTATCGTGTCCTTCATCGGAGCCGTTGTTACAATAGTCGTCCTGACAATTAAATGCTTGCGAATCGGATCCTCTGACAAAAAGCTCTTACAAAATGGGAAACAGTGAGGTCACGCGTACAGGGGTTTTACTTTTCCCAAGCGGCAATTGGAAACGATTGAAGATATTGGAATCCTGTTCGTACGAGTACAATTGCAATAACGAGCTTGCTTCTTGCAGAAATCGTTAGTTAGAAATCTTAGTTAGAAACTAAACAGACATTTTAAGGGAGCAGAAGATGGTATTGCAGTATGTATTATATTTAAGAAATAATTTAATTTTTGAATATTTATGAAGATTTTGAAGCGAAACATCATCATCTGAATGATAAATATTGAAGCAATTCCATCTCGGCTAAATGTTCTACTTTGAGATAGAGAAATACATGAATTGTCCATAAAACTAAAAAATTGTTGCTCTTTTTTATTACTATGCAATTTATTAATATTTGTCGAAGCAATTGAGATTCCATTATTTATAATTGTTTCAATAATAGAATTGATTACTTTAATAAACTGCAATTTATTATCTTTTAGATTTTCAAATACCCAACAAAGTTTCCATTTTGGGTAACATACTGTAGCAATAATAAAATCTTTTGTATTATTATTTAATTTAATTATATTAAACGGTCACGCAAATGTTTTAGAAAATGCTCTTATGGCTCGCAATATTTTAATGTTTTATATCGTTTTCATCTAATCTTTTAATATTTTTAAAATTATTTTTTACTCCAAAGATTCAAAGAGATAAAATATCGCCAAAAAATATTTCTTTCTCACCTCGCAAAATATTTAAATAATAATATGCTGTGGGATCTGTACATGTCTTATATTCTTTTAAGAATTCAATATCTTGAGCAGTAAAATATGGCAAGTGCTTCAGAAATTTTCGTTAATAATTCTTTAATTTTCAATAATTCTATCACGCTGTCGTGAAAAGAATTCCATTTTGTTATACATGATGTACAAAGAGCCCTATTTACAATTTTTTATACTATTCGCTTGCCTTATTTGAAGATCGATTGTCTTATTCTATAAATTGAAGCACTTCTCCATAACAGAAAGATGATATTTTTCATAAGATAGATTTAATTTAATTAATTTGTTTACATCGGAAGTACGTATTAAACTAACAATAAGTATATGAGAGCAACATTGATGATATTTTGGCAAAATATAATAATTTTTATCTGCTAACGAGTCGTCCCTCACCGATTTTGATGGGCTTTGGATATATTGTAGAGTATAAAAAAGTATTAGATCCATATTTTTTTTATCAGTGTATCTCAAGGTTTAGGGAGTTAAGCACTCCCTCGAAAAATAGAATTTTATCGTTTTTAATATTTTTAATATCTTCGAAATTATGTGATATATATAAAAAAACGTTTAATACAGAAGTTTTATGATATTTTGTGCTCTATATAATGATGTATTCATTTTTTTTAATATCAAATTTTTTAACTTTCTCCCAATCCTACTCATTAATTCTGCAAAATTAAAAAATTTTATATGAACAAAAATTAAAGAGCATCGAATACCGAATTTATTCATGTATTATATAATAATGTTATGTTCCCACTTGTGCTATAAGCGCCGCGCTGTAGATAGGTATTATTTCTTTTCAGTTGTTCTGTACTTGATAATTGCATATTTTTTTACAATACAATAAAAAAATGAATTAATCTTAGTAATATAATATTAACTTACTACACGAAATTACGATATAAGTATAGATGAACATGCATATATAACAATAATAATATACATGTATACAATAAGTAAAATATGTAAGTTTATATTGCATCACATTATTTAATTGTTTGTGATATCTTTTCCCATAGGAAGTGGCATCTTACCCGTATATATAGGGGGAAGATGCCACTTTTGCAAAGTATGATAACATATAAATTTTTTTTATGATACGAAACATCAAAAGTTTAATTCATTGATTTGTATGAATAAAGAAAAATTGCTAAAATATACATAATATTGTTATGCCCGTGTTTTGCCGACGCCTGTAGTATAGCGAAGAGCACGCATTGCCGAGACGAGCATTAGGCATTCGTCTGATAACAAAATCGCCAGATTTGAGCGGTCGGCGTGTTCGGACGTATCTCTTGATTGCTCCATCTAACATCTTTCGCGGTGTTCTGTTCTGTATTCTTCATTAATAAACGCTTCTTGTTCTTCTTCTTAACATTCGTGCTGTTCATTTCGGCGGTTCGAGAGACTTCGTAAATCGGCCGCGTGGGCGTAACAAAATATTATTATATCAATTATTATCCACAAGTATGGACAATTGATTTGTCAATTTATAATGTATGTATATATATATGTATATATATCGACTTGTATCATCAAATGGAAAGTTTTCTATAATTAAGATGCTATAAAGGCTTTTCTTTTTAATTGAACTTCTTACATTGCTTATCTGTCCTTTTTTTCTCTCAATATTGGAAAAAAAGATAAGCTGAACTGTGTAAGTTCAACTAAAAAGAACAGGCTTATAATCAATAAATAATTACATTATATATATTTTGATTATAAATTAAAATTGTTATATCTGTTTTTATAGTAACAAATACTATAGATTATTATTTTTTAATATTTTTTTTTAAAAAAACATTAAATTATAATTTAGGTATAGATATTTATGAAATTAGTCACATGAAATCAAAGTTATGTAAATTATTTTGAAATAACTTATTGTTCTCTATGTACACTTCTCTATTCTCTATGTATAAGAAATGTAATTTTTTTTTCTTTGCTTAAATGTGTCCTGTTAATTTTTATTAGCATGCTAAACAATATCAAACATTGTTTTTATTAGGTGTTGGAATTAATTCGTAGCGTTTTACAAGTGATGGGAAGTACTTTCATTAATGTATTTTTTAATGCTCATGTGAAATAAATAACATTCTTTCATTAAAAAACGCTACGAATTAATTCCAATACCTAATAAAATAAACTTTTTTTTTTCAATTTTCTTGCTACATTATATGCTTGCTAATATTCATATGTCTGCTAGTATGAATTAAAATATAACTGAAATATATATTTATTTCAATTTTATAATTCTTCAAGCTTTAAACTGTTATGTTAAAAATAATGATCACAATATTATTATATAATACATCTGCCGAATTTTCCATGGGTTTTCCTACACCATTTCAAGCTCACTTTTTTTGTGACCGGCCGCTTAAGTTTGATCTCTTTATTATTTCGTGCGCGTAACCAATCAATAATCAGCAAGCTAATCTCACACACCCACTTTCCGTAATAGTAATCGTACACATAACGTAGGTAGACCAATCACGTTGCTCGATTCGGTCATCCGTAACCGTATCAATCGAGCAATGCGATTAGTCGAAAACCTTAGGATGAAATCACACGGTGCGGAAAAGGGCTACGGAATAGAAGAATGCGTCATTGAAACAACCAATTAGCACTATTCGAAATTAGAGAGCCTACAATCAGAGTGACGCCATGTTTTAGCCATTCCCTCCAGTTTTTTAAACGCATTATTTTCTAAATTTTGAATTCATGCTCAAAAATTGTGACAAATTAAAAAATGATAATAAATAAATATTGTATATAAAATAATAAAACTTTTACATACATTATTTATTATAAAATTTCATTTATTTTGTACTATTGCAATATTGTACATTTTGTAATATTGCACATTACTTTATACAAAATGTTATTTATTGCGCATTATTTGCGCTATTAAATGCGCTAGTTTATTATCCATTCTCTGTTCCTATATTTTAGGAGCAAAATGCATCTGTAATAATATAAAAGAAATCAAAAATTCAGAAAAATATTATATAGGTATATCATTTCATAAAATATTATATATTAAATATTGTAAATTATTGGGTCATTTAAAAAGTATTCGCGGTTTTTTCATTCAAAAATTGAACAAAAAACCGCGGATACTTTTT